ACACGTGTCCTACATGTATAAGTACAGGTTCACATGTGCTTACATGACAACCACACAGCAACAGTACATGTGGTCAATAGATACATGACGACATGCAGATGCAGATGTACACACAGCCCGATGACCTTTGTGATTACATAAAGTGTTCTTATCTCAGTTTTCCACAGTCTTGTTCCCCCGAAAATGTCAAGGCCTCCACCGCAATACCTTTGTTGATTACAAACATACTACATGGAGGTGAACTCCTGTACGTGTGCATCAGTAGCCGATACCAGCACCTCTGTACACATACTTACAGGACTGCAGACATAGTATTGGTATGTCAGTTCAAGGTTTTGTGACATTTCCCCTGAATTCCAGGGTAATGCCTGTCCTGTCGCATAAACTCTGTACACAAAGAAGTTCTCAGCGTTTGGATTCCGGGTTAGTTTGGTTCTCAGCAACCCACATGCTTGTACGTGGCGACTTTTTGGATCGGATGGTCAGTCCAGGGCCCGTTTGCACCAAGCGATCTTAGTGCTAAGATGATCGTAACTCCCATACTTTAACATAGGCTTACAATAGTCGTAGCGCTAAGATCGCTTTGTGCAAGTGGGCCCTGATGACTTGGTTGATTGCTAGTTCACATACCCTGACGACGGTGCTGAGAATATGACTCACTGGTTTATTACCCGAGACTCGACAACTTACAGGCAGCCGTCATATGGCTGGAACGCTGTTGAAGTGATTAAACAACAATGACACTGTGTGAAATCGCACAACTTGTAGGACTAGTAGCGCCCTGCCCCCGTGAACATCCGGGTTAGAATTGGGTTTCAGCCACCAATGCTTGTCGTAAGAGGCGACTAACGGGATCGGGTGGAACACTTGCAGTGTAAAGTCACAGCATCCCAGACCTCGTACCTTAGCACTGTGAACTCACACCACACCCGGACTAGTACCCTTGCACGATGAACTCACACCACACCGGGACTAGTACCTTTGCACTGTGAAAGGGACCACCTCAAGGCTAGTAGTACCCTTGCACTGTGAACTCACACCACCCAAGGACTAGTGCACTTGCACTGTGAACTAACACCACCCCAGGACTAGTACCTTTGCACTGTGAACTCACACCACACCGGAACTAGTACCCTTGCACTGTGAACTCACACCACACCGGGACTAGTACACTTGCACTGTGTTATCACACCACACCGGGACCAGTACCCTTGCACTGTGAACTCACACCACCCCAGGACTAGTACCCTTGCACTGTGAACTCACACCACATCAGGAACAGTACACTTGCACGGTGAACTCACACCACACCGGGACTAGTACAATTGCACTGTGAACTCACGCCACACCCGGACTAGTACCCTTGCACTGTGAACTCACACCACACCGGGAACAGTACACTTGCACTGTGAATTCACACCACACCGGGACTAGTACCCTTGCACTGTGAAATCACACCACACCGGGACTAGTACACTTGCACAGTGAACTCACACCACACCGGGACTAGTACACTTGCACTGTGTAATCACACCACACCGGGACCAGTTCCCTTGTACGGTGAACTCACACCACCCAAGGACTAGTACCCTTGCACGGTGAACTCACACCACACCTGGACCAGTACCCTTGCACTGTGAACTAACACCACCCCAGGACTAGTACACTTGCACTGTGAACTCACACCACACCCGGACTAGTACTCTTGCACTGTGAACTCACACCACACCGGGACTAGTACACTTGCACTGTGAACTCACACCACATCAGGACTAGTAGTACACTTGCATTTTGAACTCACACCACACCGGGACTAGTACCCTTGCAGTGTGAACTCACACCACACCGGGACTAGTACCCTTGCAGTGTGAACTCACACCTCACCGGGACTAGTACACTTGCACTGTGAACTCACACTATCCCAGGACTAGTACCTTTGCACTGTGAACTCACGCCACACCCGGACTAGTACCCTTGAACGGTGAAATCACACCACACCGGGAACAGTACACTTGCACTGTGAACTCACACCACACAGGGACTAGTACACATGCACTGTAAAATCACACCACACCGCGACTAGTACACTTGCACTGTGAACTCACACCACATCAGGACTAGTACACTTGCACTGTGAACTCACACCACATCAGGACTCGTACCCCTGCACTGTGAACTCACACCACACCGGGACTAGTACACTTGCACTGTGTAATCACACCACACCGGGAACAGTACACTTGCACGGTAAACTAACACCACCCAAGGACTAGTACCTTTGCACTGTGAACTCTCGCCACACCCGGACTAGTACCCTTGCACTGTGAAATCACACCACACCGGGAACAGTACACTTGCACTGTGAACTCACACCACACCAGGACTAGTACCCTTGCACTGTGAACTCACACCACACTGGGAACAGTACACTTGCACTGTGTAATCACACCACACCGGGACTAGTACACTTGCACTGTGAACTCACACCACACCAGGACTAGTACCCTTGCACTGTGAACTCACACCACACCGGGATTAGTACCCTTGCACTGTGAACTCACACTATCCCAGGACTAGTACACTTGCACTGTGAACTCACACCACACCAGGATTAGTATCCTTGCACTGTGAACTCACACCACACCGGGACTAGTACACTTGCACTGTGTAATCACACCACACCGGGACCAGTACCCTTGCACTGTGAACTCACACCACACCGGGGATAGTACCCTTGCACGGTGAACTCACACCACACCGAGAACAGTACACTTGCACTGTGAACTCACACTATCCCATGACTAGTACACTTGCACTGTGAACTGACACCACACCAGGACTAGTACCCTTGCACTGTGAACTGGCACCACACCGGGACTAGTACACTTGCACTGTGAACTCACCCTATCCCAGGACTAGTACACTTGCACGGTGAACTCACACCACACCAGGACTAGTACCCTTGCACTGTGAACTCACACCACACCGGGACTAGTAAACTTGCACTGTGTAATCACACCACACCGGGACCAGTACCCTTGCGCTGTGAACTCACACCACACCGGGATTAGTACCCTTGCACGGTGAACTCACACCACACCGAGAACAGTACACTTGCACTGTGAACTCACACCACACCAGGACTAGTACCCTTGCACTGTGAACTCACACCACACCGGGACTAGTACACTTGCACTGTGTAATCACACCACACCGGGACCAGTACCCTTGCGCTGTGAACTCACACCACACCGGGATTAGCACCCTTGCACGGTGAACTCACACCACACCGAGAACAGTACACTTGCACTGTGAACTCACCCTATCCCAGGACTAGTACACTTGCACGGTGAACTCACACCACACCAGGACTAGTACCCTTGCACTGTGAACTCACACCCCACCGGGACTAGTAAACTTGCACTGTGTAATCACACCACACCGGGACCAGTACCCTTGCGCTGTGAACTCACACCACACCGGGATTAGTACCCTTGCACGGTGAACTCACACCACACCGAGAACAGTACACTTGCACTGTGAACTCACACCACACCACACCAGGACTAGTACCCTTGCACTGTGAACTCACACCACACCGGGACTAGTACACTTGCACTGTGTAATCACACCACACCGGGACCAGTACACTTGCACTGTGAACTCACACCACACCGGGACTAGTACACTTGCACTGTGTAATCACACCACACCGGGACCAGTACCCTTGCGCTGTGAACTCACACCACACCGTGACTAGTACCCTTGCACGGTGAACTCACACCACACCGGGACTAGTATCCTTGCGCTGTGAACTCACACCACACCAGGACTAGTACCCTTGCACTGTGAACTCACACCACACCGGGACTAGTATCCTTGCTCGGTGAACTCGCACCACCTCAAGGCTAGTAGTACCCTTGCACGGTGAACTCACACCACACCGGGACAAGTACACTTGCACTGTGAACGCACACCACACCGGGACAAATACCCTAACGTTAGTGGATCACCACTGTTTATAGGTCATAATTCTGAAACAGTCGGTTTTGGGTTTGCACAACACATTGCACCCCTGCCTGACAGACAATTACAATCTATATGGCGAAATGATGTTGTTTATGAAGTTGTTCATTTCAACACACCCACATATATTTAAAATCAGCTGGGTTTTTTCAACAGTTATTGACATACTTATTGACTGACGGTTTCATCATTCTCAGTCGTCTAAACACTTTTAGTATACAAAACAACAACACAAGGTTAAAAATAGCAACTGCTCGGTGTTCGTGTACAAATGCGCGACGCATGTTTATTGATTTTGATGTGTAAACATACAGAATTCATTGTTGGTTTGATACTTCTCGGTGCGAGGTAATTGTAATCAACCAATGTCTGAACTGAGAAAACAAACCTCCGTGCAAAATGGGAAACAAGGCAGGAAGAATGAACGACAAGTATGGAATCCCGATACGGACACTTTCCCCACAGTGTTATCGAAGGCATGCCGCATTGTACGGGTGTTCCATATACCCATCTCGGACACTTGACACCGTTGTCATCTAGCCCCAAGGGACAAACGTGTCGTTGAATCGTTCCTAGTCTGTCTTACAGACCCTGATACAAATATATATCAAATACAGCCCATGCAAGTCTATAATGTTTGGCAAGTCTAGATCACTGCAGCATCTGAAAATGAAGAGAGTCACTGGGCTCCTTTTTATTATATTTTTATTAAGATAACTGAACAACTGTTTTTTTATGTACGATATGTTCATTTCAGAGACTAGATTTTAGTCTAAATCGTTCCCTATATATACACTTTGAAATATCCCTTTGAAAGGAGAAATACTATGAAAAGAAAGGTTTGGGCAAGCTGTATTTATTTCACGTGGGACATATTTGATGAATTAAATACGAATGAGCCCAGTGTTATAAATGTTAAGGTACATCAGTACTCAGAACTATGTCGTTTAACGTGTTATAACAATTTATTTTAGGAAACGTCACCTGGGACCTTGACCTCTGAGAGGCCAACTAAAGGTGAAGGTCAACATGGGCAGCCATTGTAACCTTGGGAAGGTGCAATGAAGATGAGGCTGACACGGCGGTGATGGCCACAACGCCATACGTGTTCTTCAACGTTCCCTTCGTTTTTATTTATTTTCGTTAGTTCTGTTATAGTTGATTTTGTTAGGCTCGAAATGTTCAGAGTCAACTCACGAATATATTTATGTTTCAAGTGGTGTTAGCTTTTGGAAGTGTTTGTAAATAGTCTATTTCAGGTTGATATTGTGATCTGTGATACATGGGTTCTGTCAAAGTTCACTGTGACATCAGGCTGTGGTTTTCTCTGTGATAGTTGTTACAATATTATTGTCTGTAATGTTTTGTATGACGTTACGGCGTATTTATCGTCTATTCGGTTTTTTTTGTAAATGAGTCCTGAATTAAACCTATTATGTTTGACGTTATGTTTTTTCTTAACACTACGCAACTAAACTTAATTCAAAATTCACCTAACCATGTGGAATATTTTCTTATGTCCCAGAGGGGGCACGGGTGGCCCAGTCGTCTAAGGCGCCGCAATTCGCTGTGCAGAGTTGCGTTCCTTGGACACGCCAGAAACCTATGATTGTGGGTTCGAATCCCGGTTCGCCCCGATTATGTTTCTAGGTTTGTCAGCACCATACCCGTGCTCGTGGGTTTCACCGAAGTGGTTAACGTCTGAGACCTGCATCACTTCGTCGTGATATAACTGTAATACTGTTAAAATCGGCGTTAAACCCAACTCACTCACTCACTCAAGCAATTGTATAAAACAAATGCGAGCTAAGTACGTTTGGAATTGCCTCTGTTTATCATTATATGAGAATTTGTTTTAGCCCCATAGTTAATACAACGCTACCTTCAGCCACGCTGCCCCAGACAGACAGGGGCACACGGTGCAGTCTGACCAAATATTTATACATGTGATGGCAATTTTACAATGTCAGCCCGCGTAACCGTTCGTGTAATGCTGAAGTTAACCCCGTGATGTAGACTATTTACACGGCGACCCCAGCAATGAAAGTTTCGGCCTCACAGCCGGGTTCTTGAACTTCACAGCCGTTCTGACGTCACAGAAACACGTCCAGACGTCACGAGGACATTGCATTAACGCTCGTGCCTATGTGACAACACCGATATCTGTGTAACATTTGCTGGTTGTGACCTTGATCGCTTAAGGTCAAAGGTAACCTAATTACCGCCATTACTTCTGTAAAGGTCAAGATAGCTCAGACCCATTTGATCACGTGAGTGCTGTACCAAATGACACGAGTCATCGCTGGGGGTATGTTTTCGTGTGTTTCCGACATATGGTAATTAAGTTTGTATAGAAGAAGGATGCGCAAGTAATAAAGCTATGCCCTGGGCAGGTTTCTCAATAGCTCTTATATTAAAAAGTTCACTTAATCCTCGCTATATGTTGCAGCTTGTCTCTGGATTTAATTTATCACGCTGGAATTTGACAAAGTGATGTTTTCATCCCAGAATGCTTCTTCAATAAAATACATGGAATTTTTTTTTCGAAATACCTACTGTCTCTAGGCTGGTGGTATTAAGGACGATAAGTAGATTAACTCAGTTAATGATGTTTGTGTGTTTGTTAACGCCGCAGTAAATGGCCTGTCAATATCTAGGTTGGATATCTAGGGATTGATATTGTGGGCAATACGATGACAAGCTGTCAACGAAATCACCGAGCATGACCAACCGTATCCAGTTTGTCGCCTCTTACGACCAGGGCCCACTTGCACAAAGCGATCTTAGCGCTACGACTATTGTAAGCCTATGTTAAAGTATGGGAGTTACGATCATCTTAGCGCTAAGATCGCTTTGTGCAAGTGGGCCCAGAATATCATGTCTCTTTTATTTCAAACGTTCAATCAAGATGTAATGGTGAACTCAGCAGACAAGGGATTCTAATTTGGCGTTTTTAGGCCACGTGATAGTTTAGGTCTGCCATCCTTTTGGTATAACTCCATGACTATCTCAGTACACATTTATTAACACTCTTATTACACAGAGACAATGTTGAAGTTTAAAACATGATGCTTTGTATGATGTCTCGTCTAGAAAGGAATCTTGAACCAGACCGTAGAACATTGTTCCACTTAAAGATATCTGATTTGACACAGGTAATGTGATATTTCAAACTGTATGAAAAGGAAACACATGTTTTTCCTCAACACGATACGATCGAAATGTACATACTTCAAGTTCAGACAGTAAAGTAGTTCACCGAGTTCTTGAATTTCAACTGATTATCGATATCAATAAAGCACATGGGTACATTTTGCCTTCATGGTAATTGTATTATTCGAATATGCAGGAAAAACGAACCACGCTATAACGTATACATAAATAGTATCACTTCAGAGGCCTGATCTGAATCAAATTTAGTCTCGACCAGCGAATCAAATAGAAAAAAATATATTTCATTTATATGGGCTTTTTGCTATGCAAAGACACCCCGATGACATTTCAGAAGGCATTAAAAACCTCTTACTTCTCCCGTCTGTAATTAACAGACGATACACGCCGAAAATTATCAAGCCTCAAATTGCTTCAAATACGTGCATGATTCAATGGTAACAAAGTGGTTCTAATGTAAAAACGAGCATAGACCTGCAGTCACTCTCGCATGCCTAAAGTCAATTTGCACAGGTCCACAGCAAGCAGCTTGCTCTTGAAACGATATGGCTAACTTCATGTTCTTTGAGCAATACGTTTAAGTGCCTACTTGGAATGCAACTTAAGGTTTTGCTTGTTGGGAAACTTTCAAATCCGGCATCAAAGCACGCCACCCATTTTTGCAAAAAAGACACCCACTGATACACTTAGAAAGCTTCGTAAATATGCTGTATGAAAATGACATTTCATCTTATCACGAGTGACAATATTGTAATGCATAGCCTTTTGAATGTAACCAGGGAAGAGTTCATTTTCTACACTTATTTACTTGCAGCGACATGTAAATATGTCTAAGATGTGAACATGGATCGCAAGCTGCGATATCATTTATACATGTAGAAAGTGCACGTCATTCTAAGGAGATATCATCACAGCAATGAGTCATGTATACTTTAGGTAATAAGTGTTTTTCCACTCAAGAACATGTGTTCATGTCTTTGTAATACCAAGTCACGGAATATATAGACCGAGTCGTAACTCTCAATTTACGCCCATAGCATTCAAATTTATATCATCACTGTTGGGGCGATCTGAACTGCTCCTTGTTGGGAGCTTGAACATGATATCCAGACAACATCAGACCAGAATATTATCTCTTGGGACCGATCATTTGTCACTTGGGGGTGCCATGGGTTAAGAACATAATTCGTTCCGGGGAAAAGTCATTTTGGCTTAGGTTTTACGAAAAGTTTAATCGTTGAAATAAACGGATTGTCACAAATAGAAGTCTCCGGTCCCCTTCAGAGAAAATCTTTAAAATGTTTATTCTGTTTTGAGGCAGGGAGTTGAGGAATATTCTGTCTCTACATATATTTCAATCTCTCCTAGAATATTGTATGGAAATGAAAAACATCCAGGTAAGAATCTTAGACCCGAGCAACCGAGATTTAAAAGGCGATTTAATGGATCGGGGGTAACGCTCGGTGACTTGGCTCCTGGTGGATCGATGATCATGCTGTCATTGAATTGTCTGGTCGAGAGCCGATTATTTTCAGCTGCCTTGCAGTAAGTAACTCAACACTCAGTTACCGTAATCGGGAGCTAGAAAGAGGCAGACACACTAACACGCCTGCAGCCCAGAGATGATGCATAATCTGCAACCTAAACAAGGTAGAAGACGAAATACACTTCTGTGATGCCCATGCTACAGTACAGAAGAGATAGTTACTTCTTCTGACACTAGATTTATCAAACTGTCAAAATTTTCGCGACTGTCTTTACTCCTTGCAAATTATGGCCCAAAATATCTGACGTGTTTATGAAAAGAACCTTTTTGACAATGCTAGACATGAAGTCAATCTTTGATAAAACATACTGTGATTTATTACTGATGTATTTCATTATGTGTACGTCATCAATCAGCTTATGGTATATGTAAGGTGAGGTGAAATGGGGTTTAACGTCGCGTCCAAGATTATTGCACTTATATGGCGACGTGCATTCACGTGTGTGTGTGTGGCTGCTTGTACTAGTCCGGACTGATGCCGATTTATAGTGCTAGCTCACTGAGATGCCATGCCGCAGTTTAACATGAATACCCCACTCAGACACAGTATACTGACTCCGAGCCGACCAGTCCTTGTTTTAGCCTCTTAATGCCGAGCGACAGACAGGGTAACAACAAGTACCATCTTTTAACGTCTTTTGGTATGACGCGGTCGGGGATCGAACCCCGGACCTTCCGCCATCCGGGCGGACGCTCTACCACTAGACCACGGAGGCTGTCTGGTATATGTAAACCTTTATGTATCTTGTATAACAATAAGATGTAATATCTTCATGCATATTGTGCATTTTATGTATATTTACCTTTCATGTTTGCAATTATATTTACTCCCGAAGGTAGCTACTTTGTTCTATTCCCTTTGAGGGTGTTTTGTACAATATTATCCTCGATTCTTGATTCTATACCTGCAATATTGGTTATTGCGACATTCAACAACAAACAAATAATGGATTACCAACCACTCCATCATTATTGCCTATCGAGACTGCTTTAGCAGCCACTTGATCATATGTAGGTTACCTACTGAGGGCAATTATTGCTGTGGTGGCCTTGAACACGTCAGCCTAATTGCGGTTGAATTTCCCTATTAGCAACGGAACTACTAGAAGGAATAATGCTCAGGGCGTTATCGCGAACCGCCTGGAAAACGTGGCTTTATTAGCGAGTGTTGACAGCGTATATCTGGTTTATTATACGCCGTGGTAAAGCTACTCTGATAATACTCTTTTAGGGACATTCTTGGTGCAGTGTTATGGGATTTGGACACTTTTGGTTGATAAGTAGATGTTGTCGCTTTCAGGGTGGTATTGGTGTTGTATGGTGCTATGAACAAAACGAGGCAAATCGACCCCATATTTAGTATGTTGATGATGGAAATGACGATGATGATTGTGAAGTCGATTGTTGGTGGAGTTATTGGGAATCTCGTGGACGGTCAGATTACTCCAGAATGAATGCTCATATCAAGTAAAAACTACGGGCAGAGTACAAAAGTAGACTTAAGAAAATCTGGAGTTCAGAGATGAACGCTCGCAATAAAGCTTAAGCCAGAAATACTTATGCTGTACCCGTCCTTTCATATTCTTTTTGGTGTTGTTGATTGGACGAAACAAGACATTCGGGGTATTGACACCCTCACACGAAGAATCATGTCAGACAATAGATCCCACCCCTCCGCTCTTCCCTCAATCGCTTATATTTACCAATCGTTATGGGAGGGCGTGGT